TTAGCCCGATTTTTCACTCGCCGACAGGTTTTGCGAAATCGCCGACAAATGCCAGAAATCAGAGGCAAATCGGTGCTCGTTCACGCGAGTGACAATCACGCAGTGTGAATTATCAAAGACGCGATCTGAGGGAATCGCCCACAAAATATTTGGCATGCTAAAACATTCACAATCACGCTGTGTGCAGTGATTTCTGACTGAAAACTACATCGACATGACCTACAGCCAATGAGAGACCAAGATACAGGGCAGAGGGAAGTTCGGGGAGGAGTTATAGACCAGAATATCAGTATTTTAATAGCGATATGAACAATTATATCATACAGAAACAAGCACAAACATTTGCTTGACAAGCCACAACATCAGCATAACAGTTACTGCAAAATTGTTTACCTCCAACTCTCTTTGCAGAACACCCAATCACTGTTCCCTGCATCTCCCTCCTGCATAATCTGTTTTTCTTTTTCTCCTTGTAGCTGAAACTCAGCTCACAGACAATTTGCGGGCTATATATTGTATATATTTTATAATTCCAGTCTTGCTCGAGAACTCCGGTCTGATGCACGCGGGTTCTCACGTTATTTCCATATCACTTCTCGCGCGTGTTTTGTTGTGAAACGTAGTTTGCGGACCAGACAGGGTTGTCGGTGATTCTCCCTATTGTAAAGTCATGCAGTGTGTAACCTCCTGTCGCCGATCCATCGTGCAATGTGAACACAGCAGCGACTGACTGCTACCTCAGATAGTCGTGCAGTGTGAAAACCACGGTGACCTGACGACTTTGAAAATCGTGCAGTGTGAACTCTGCATAAATGGTCATTCACGAAGTTTTGTCGTTCATAGGTGGACAAGAAGAGCCCACTCCAGGTAAAATGACTTTTTACATTAAAACATGCATTTATAAATTTTTACAAGAAACATTTAAGCAGTCTAATCGTGCAATGCAATAACCTGCTCTCCTGCAGAACCACGACCACGCAAGTACAAATGTGGCCTGTCTGCACCATGTCCCCCCAAACATCTCGCGTTCCGGCTGACCTCTGGTGCTGCCAATGTCATCGGCCCCAAAATCTGTCTGGAGGATAAAATGCAAGTGGCCTTTTCACTGCTGCTTAGTCGCTGTTGGTCTCTTTAATTAGCTTGCATGAGCTCTTTCCCTATTTCTTGTTCTGTCTCCACTGGTATTCATCATATCATCTTTGTTTTTCTCATGGCCCTCACTACCAGACTCATAATCTTTTTGGGGAATGTGATGCAAGTAGGCGATTGTTTCTCTTTCCATGCCTATATTTTGTTCATATTCATAATCCATTTTCTGACCCTTCCTTAAGTTCTACCATAGAATTAAATGTCTAAAATGGTGTTTTGAGATGCTGTTTCACTTCTGTTTTTGTGGTCTTACAGTCTTGTCAGCAGTGCTAAAAACAATGTTGGCAGAGGGCTCAATATTGCCTTAGTAAATGGTAAATCTCTCATTCTTTTATGCTGCTATATTTTTGCATGTGTTGTATATGCATTGTTGATGACAATTCAATTTCCATTTCTCAGGGGTTAATGGAGATGTTTTGGAAATAAAAGCATTTGATATGTGGGCAGGAGGTAAGTTGACCTTTCGGGTGATGTATCACTTTGGTTATGTCGCTGTTTTCTCAGTGTTCTCTCTCTCCGCCACAGATGTTTCAGAGCTGCTGAAGTTTCTTCGTCCTCTCCATGAAGGAACGCTAGCATTTGTTGCTTCTTTTGATGACCCGGCCACCAAGTAAGAGTCTATTTATTTCTGCAACCTACTTTTAAACCCAGATTACCGTTGTTGTGTTTTTTAATCACTCCTAAATCGAGAGCATATCAGGGGCTCTTTTCCTCCATTGTTTCTTGGATGTACTTATTGTTAAACCCTTCACCAGGTTAAATGATGAGGCGCGACGGCTGTTTGAGGAGCTGGGGAGCACAGCAGCGAAAGAACTGAGCTTCAGGGATAGCTGGGTGTTTGTTGGAGCCAAAGGAATAGAAAATAAGAGCCCATTTGAACAGGTAGGATTTATGGGAAGAAATATGCAAATTTTTGTATGCAAGCTCAGGTCAGTTTTAAAACCCCCCTGTTGTGAAACTCAAGTTTCTTACATTGTCTAATAAGATTAAAGACAAACTATGTCTTAATTCAACAGTCAACACTTTTGCTACCAAAGAATGTCTGAAAAGTGTGTTTCAAAGCGTAACAAACATGTATCGAGTCCCATCAAATTGTGGGGTTGGGCTTTTCATATAATTAGCATATCAAAGGAACATGGTTTGTATAACATTAGCAACACATTATTAGCTGTTTGGTAACATAGTCAAGCCAAAGGTAAGATACATAAAATGCATTGGCTCTCTGATACATTGCCTTGTAAATGACCCTGTATAATTCTTAGGAATCCGTTTCTGTTTCAAATATTGCTGAATTAATCCAATATTGACAAATGCCATTGTGTTACGTTGACTACTTCCGTTAACTGAGTGAAAGTGGAGCAGGTAGTCCGAGCTGGTGTGTTTGAGTGGAGGTGGAGACTAATTTGCATATTCATGGCTCCATGTATAATCAGATAAAAGTGTTGAGGTAAATTTAAGGCAAGATGAAGATATTTTCATGGGAAAGGTGTTTAAATATGTCATTTTGATAATCAAAGATTACACACTGAGCTTTATAACATCATTAATAGCTTCTAATATGTCTGAATATGGTTTTACCTTCCAACCTCCACCTGAAACCATCATGACCATCATGAAATAGACCAAACTGGCCCTTTCTCTGTGATTGAACCTAAACCCCAACCAAAGCCATTTACTAAAAATACATTGGAAAAAAAACTAGTCTCTTCCCTGTAATTTTCTGAATGTTTTACTTTCATTTAAGCTTGGTCTTGAAACTTGGCACTGCTTACTGGCGTGTTTTGCTCTTGTATAATAAATAGCTTCTAATATTTCTCATTTGTGAGTCGCTTTGGATTAAACCGTCTTGCTAGATGTTTTAATCAATTAATTGCTGTGTTTCTTTAAAGCAAAAATTGCAGATAAAAAGCCTTGCAGTGTCTCACTTCATTCTAGCTCATGTACAATTAATATTCAGACAATTTTAGAACCTTTTAGTGCAAATAGAGCTGTTCATTGATGTCTGAATGAGCAACAGTAAAAAGTGAGGGCAGAGTTTAGCTATCGGTGCATTTTAAAGAGTTAATAATTTACAATTTTAGATTCTTAAAGCAGCTCGAGATTTTTTTTCTCTTTCTTTCAGCGGATGAAAAACAGTAAAAGCAGTAATAAATATGAAGGCTGGCCCGAGTCTCTGGAGATGGATGGCTGCATTCCTCTGCGCGCTCCTTTAGAAACTTAAGGCCTCATGGGTTCTTTGAACTACGAACACTTCTAACACGAGGAACAAGGAGCACTACGTACAAGTACAACTCCGCTGCCTAAAGATTTTACTCATTGGATGGTTTGAAGTGGAATTTCCTTGTAGAGCCGTCTGCTTCTTTTCAAGGACGAAGAAACAAATTGAACTGAAAATATAACTGGAAGTTGTCTGGTCCGCTGGAATTAGAATTGTTGTGATTGACAAAAGAAGAATTGTTTTTATGAAGAAAAAAATACAGGCACATTAAATATTTGCATACAATATTTAAATAGTATGTTTAGAAAGGAGATATATATGTATACACACACACACACACACACATATATATATAGTTTAAAATGTGTGAAGTTGATGCTGTATAAAAATCTGTGCCTAGCGTTTGTTCTGAAGGATGCCATTAATATGCATTTACGTTCAAAGACAGATTATTATATACACGCATTAAAGAATGTCCAGAGAGTCCATTAAAAATAGTCACCTATTTCTAATCCATGCTTGTAATAAGATCAGTTTTGTAAGACTCATCTCCATTAAGTTGCACCAATGTTCTTCCATGTGTAGTTTTTGATCTTTGTTAAATGATGCACTGATGAAATGCACTGCATAGACAACCTTTGCTGGGAATCAACCCAAACATAAAGGTTATTCGTGTAGTTTTATTTAGGGCAGCCTTTTTTAGGAGGATTACGTTTGCCTTATCTCATAATAAACTCTCACAGATGTTTATCCCCTCGTGTTTGAGCAGCGTATCCGTTGGCTGTTTGAAACGCCCTATTTTTGCGGTCTCCAAACGCAATGGGGTTTTGGCGAATTTTACGGTTTGTTCCAAAGGAAGTGACTTGTGGCTGTTTCTTTTGCATACTTGTCACTTTTCAGTTCACATGCACACAGTAAACCCATTTACAGAAGCTCGTGATCACGTGTGTTGTCGGCGAATTCAAATCACCCAAACAAGCACCATGGACAGCGGCATTACAGTTCTTATACTCTAGAGGGCAGCAAAGGAAGAATTTGAAATGGACCCTAAAATGGCAGATTGTGTACGATTAGAAAAGTATTTGTAGACTTAATTTGTGACCCTGGACCACTAAACCAGTTTTAAGTCGCTGGGGTATATTTGTAGCAATAGCCAACAATACATTGTATGGGTCTTTTTTTTTTTTTGGCCAAAAATCATTAGGATATTAATTAAAGATCATGTTCCATGAAGATATTTTGTGAGTTTCCTATCGTGAATATATCAAAACTTCATTTTTGATTAGTAATATGCATTGTTAAGAACTTAATTTGGTCAACTTTAAAGGCGATTTTCTCAATATTTTGATTTTGTTGCACTTTTGGTAAATTGCTAATTATGTCTCAGAATTGTATGGGGATCTGTGGTTCACATATTAACTATACACTTCAGACTATGAACTTACAGGCTTAAAAGTACTTTTATTAGTTTTATTTGGTACTACTAGCCTATCTATATAAAAAAAAGTTATTAGTAAAGCTCCATAATCAATGCATTAACATGAGTACATTTCAGTCATCAAAGTATTGTATTGCCATATAGTACTACTATATTATCATTGAAATATTGGGCTGTGTATTAGCTTAGCTGGCTAATTAGTTAGCATAAGTACATGAATAAGAAGAAAACATTTTCTGCTTTAGTTATATAATGTGTTTTGATTTATACATCACGCATCTTACATTAAATTATGTATTTTCATAATTAAGGCCACATGGATTGTCAATTGGTATTGTAGGATCGGAATATGAATAGAAAAAACAAAACAAAAAGTAAAGTCAGACATGTCCTTTATCCTAATAAGTAACAACCCTATTAAATGTTAATTAATTATATCAGAATGGCCAAATCTCATTGTTTAATCAGACATTTGCTGGGACCATGCGCGACCTCGCGTGGTCAGACAGGCGGCGGCGCGCATAGTTGGAGCACGCGGTGCGAGTGAGCGAGCGCGCGCGCGCGTCTCTGTGTTTAACCGAAAAAAGAGAAAAAAGAGAAACGATTGAACGACCACGAACGCCGCAGCGACGGACGCCGCTCTGTAAATGATGTAAAATAAACCTATGTGAATGCGTAGCCGTTACATTCACCGGCGGAAAGGTGTGCTGATAATCTTGCGGAAAGGAAGAGCAATATGTTTTATGTCTTTGTTAACAGATGATGTGTCCAGGCGGATTTGCGGGGTTTAACGACGCCGCTCAACAAGAGAAGCAAACGCTCTTCCAAGAAAAGGAGTAACGTTAAACACCGGCAACCTTACACGACAAATTACGCTCATATCCAACGCGATGCTGACGAACTGTTGAGTCTGTGACATAAATTGGAGAAAGCGAGACCTTTCGACAAGCTGCTTCAGTTTTAATAACGACAGAGGATGCAGCACACCGGTGAGTAACGTTACCATTGACTGTTGTGCTAAATAATCATTAGCTCTTGATATTCAGAGGACTTGTCTTTAGAGATATAAATTATTAAATAAAAACGCATCTTTAGGTTGCTGTATATGTCTCTCAGACAAACAGGAATCCCAGGCAAACATAGCTTAGATGCTAACACAACACGGTGGTGCTGAAATAGATATTGGCAGTGGACGACACAAGCAATATTATTACCGCTTGAACTGTAAAATGAAGGTGTTTTCATCTTTTCTTAGTCTGCTTTTTACTTCTGATTCCGAGGAGGTTTCTGCTCTTGTTATTGTCTTTTATATTCTTCATCCGTCTTGCTAACTGAGTCAGTGTAAATGAAGACTGAATGTGCAGCTCAGACAGTCTGTCTGTATTATGTCATATGCTGCCGTTGACCGATTTTCTTATGCTAATTGTCAATTTATCGACTGATGGTGCTTCAGTTTGTAAGTTACAACCTAACAGCACACGTCTGTGTATGTTTTGTGGCTGCCATGTCTTCTGTTGCTATGCGTTTTTAACTCCAGGCATTGGCCACTGTTGGTCAGTGTAGTGGCTAATAGATGGTGCCAGTGTAATAGTTGACTGTTTTATCTTTCTTTGGGGCTTTGTTTAAATAGTATCATGATGTTGTAGGAGATCTTATATGGGCCACTGACAAATAAGGATGTCTGAGATGATGAAAAAGAGAAATCTAGTTTAAATTGGCAAGTTCTTTAATAATGGTTGGTGCCAGTTTCTACAAATCAGTTTTGATTTATGGACTCTAAAAATGTCAAGTGGTTTAATCAACAAATAAATTGGTCAAAACATGGTCCTTGCACCTAGAATAAATGCGCCAATTATTATTTTTGTAATAGTTTTCAAAAATATTTTTTAAGTAATTTTTTTTTTTAATTCAAGTGATGAATTTGGTCAAATATCAAGTGGGTTTAACTAGTGTTACGCCATTTGATCTGACCTGATTTGACCTGCCTTTTCAAAAGTCAAAATATGTGATTAAAAAAACATGTCTAAAAAACAAATCTTAATGACTTTGGAAAACAGTCAATGCACTTGTTTTACGGTTTTGTTGTGACATGGCATCACAGTTATGCCACCAAGGCATTTTTGAATGTGCATTGTAAAAGAGGTGGTTTAATGTATTTTAAATGTAATTTATTCCTGTGATGGCAAAGCTGAATTTACTCCAGCTGTCATTACTCCAGTCTTCAGTATCACATGATCCATCACAAATCATTCTAATACGCTGATTTGCTGCTCAATAAATATTCTTTATTTTTCCGGATTCTTTGATAAATAGAAAAATATCTTTACTGCATATTTGATACATTTAAATAAATAAATTAAAAATGACTCCAAACTTTTGAACAGTATTGTATGCAACTTTGTCTGTGCAGTCTATGTTGATGAGGAATAAGCAGTGATGAGTGTAAAAGTTAAGTAAAATGTTAAAAATCCCTCAACTTCAGTGGTTATCTGCCCCATATTTTATGATAGGATAAAATCAAGAGAAGCTTACTTAGGCATAAACCTCAAAAGCACAATAGTAAGCCACTTATGTATAATCCACAATTCATCATGGCAAGCTTTGATTAAACCGGTCTCACCTAGATTATATCATTAACTGAACGAAGAGAAGGCAGTATCTAGTCTTTTTTTTCTGGTTCACTGTGTACCCTACCCTCTGTGACCATAGTGACACTCACTAGGCTTGACCTAGATCGGACAAAAGTGTTTGTTGTGTGTTGTTCTTGGTGTTACTTAATGGGATTAGGAGAACAAACTTTATACCTTCAACTCCAGCTGTCACTTTGCTGTAATCTACACCTTGAAATATTACAGGCATCAGATTTTATTTATTAATGTTTACTTTCTTGACGCTGTGCTTGGTCTCTTAACTGGATCCACTTCCTCAGAGCTTATTTTACTTTAAAAAGAGTGCTCTGCAAGGTTATTATTAGAGCCCGACCGATATATAGTTTTGCCGATATTATCGGCCGATATGAGCCTGTCGCCGATATATCGGTATTGGTGCATATGCCGCAGATATGAATTTTTTTTTTACAGAACATAACGCAGATCAAATGGTGTAATTACTTAGTTTGTCCAGCAGAGCGCGCTCCATTGTTTGCTACTGGCGACCTGAATGAAACGCTTTAAAGCTTAAGTCTGGAAAACCATTGAAACTTTGAATGGCCATATCTTCGTAATGTCGTGGCGAATCCGCACCAAATTCGATTTGATAGGGTTTCTCGAGCTGATATGAATTTTTTTTTTACAGAACATAACGCAGATCAAATGGTGTAATTACTTAGTTTGTCCAGCAGAGCGCGCTCCATTGTTTGCTACTGGCGACCTGAATGAAACGCTTTAAAGCTTAAGTCTGGAAAACCATTGAAACTTTGAATGGCCATATCTTCGTAATGTCGTGGCGAATCCGCACCAAATTCAATTTGATAGGGTTCCTCGAGCTGAAGGGATCCCCCGAATTTGGTGGAGATCCGCCGGCGCGTTCGCGAGATAGTGACACCTGCTAAAACTTTCACTTCAGTAAGGAGGTCTCTTGTTCAGGCAGCAGCATTCAAGCATTGGCTTATTCGACCGTAAGTGCCCTGCGAAATGGACTTCACATAAAATTCCTCCATGATTCCAGTTCCAAGGGAACGTACACGTTACATTCGAAGGGCATTAAAGTGCGCGAGACGTGAATTTTTGTATTTTTTTACAGAGGTATATTATGTCACACTTCACACTTCTCTAGTAAGTTTCGTCTGTGTGTGAAGACAGTAGCGCAAATCTGTGAATGAATGTTCTGAAGTGAAATAAACTTCAACGGAATAAAGTTGAATGGAATTGAATTGAATTAAAGTTGAATAAACTTCAACTTTACTGTTCAGTACACTGATGTCAGACTCATTTTGGATAATAAAGTTTATTGTTAAATGCCCTGCCTCCATTACTTATCTCTGTCACGTGTTTCATTACCATATTTGAGTGATCATTGCAAAAAATGTGTTTGTATATAT